TCCGACTCAAAATCGCTCTTGAACATGTAATTCTTACCATAAACACTGAGATAGCTTTGAATCAGTGACGCTAATGACCTGGAATTGATTCTTCTGTGGAGTTGTCAGGGTAAAGCAAAAGGAATAAGGTAGCCCAAGAAGTAGCACAGGCAGATGGAAAACCAGACCAGCAGGAGTGACTAAACTTAAACATTGTAATTCAGCCACTAACACTGTATTATTCATATAGATGAAGAGTAAGTCAAATTAACCTGAAAGAATAAAACAGAAGACAGGAAACGTTCCCGGGTTCTTTCTACACAGTGACATGAACGTGATAATCCCCAGTGTAGACAAAGCATCCAAAGCAAACACTTTGCCAGACAACAAGAATCCAGTGATAAACTTGCAGACACTTTTGCCAACGTGTCTCTAAGATACGCACATGTTCAAAGTGCTATACAGACTACTAAGAATAACACGCTTTCTTAATTTAAAAGACTTCTCCGCTTATTTATTAAGCTAAACATTGGACTGAAACACAAGAAAGCACAATTATCACCTGTGTTCCACCACCAGTTCAAACCACCTGCTGACTTAAGAAGCAGTGTGTGCTTTAAGATGCATTTTTCCAGTTCTGATACGTGTAACTATTACAGAGCCTACAGCAGCATTTACGTCAGAGTAAGAACTGGCACAACAGACATGTGGATTTGCTACTCAAGAATTGACACGGTTAATCTTGAAAGATTCGTCCGAAACTGCTGAAAAACTGAAGCACCGTTAGCGCCCTTACACCAGAGACAGCTGCTGCCACAACGCCTCACGGGGCCATTGGACGGCTGGGTCATTGTACGACAGTCACCGCGCAGTTTTTCTCAGAGGCCCCGATTTGCTGCACACCCGCAGCTCACCGCCACGTTTCAGGAGTGCAGCGCGGGGCGCAGCCCGCACGGACGGGGCGCAGCCGCCCCGCGCTCCCGCAGCGCCCGGCCCAGCCCGGCCCGCCGCCCGCACCTTCGTCGCTGATGTCGTCCACGAAGCCCTCGGGATCGCTGAAGGAGAGCTCGTCCTCGGGCTCGGCGGGCGCGGCCTCCCCGTCCTCCCGCGGCTCGCAGGGCTCGGCTGGCGGCCCGGCCTCGGCCGGCGGCTCGCTCTCGGCCTCCTCCGGAGGCGGCTCGGCCTCGGGCCCGGCCTGGGGCTCGGCCCGCTCGGGGCTCTCCCGGCCGGACGCCGGCTGCGGGGAGGGCGGCTGAGGCGGCTGCGGCTCGGCGGGCTCCGAGGCGGCGGGCGGCGGCTCAGGGGGGCCCTCAGAGCCGCCCTCTTCCGCCGGCCCCTCTCTCTCGTCCTCCTTCAGCTGCTGCTCGGGCGGCGGCTCGGGCGGCGCTCCGTCGGGCCGCTCGGGCTCCTCGGCCGGGCCCTGTGCGCCGGGCGGCGCGGGGCTGTCCTCGGTGCCCTGCATGGGGGTCGGTGCGGGGCGCCACCGGCCGCGCGTTCCCAGCTCGAGGGCGACGGGAAAAGGAGCGGGGGAGGGGCGGGGAGGCTCCTACGGCCGGGCCATGTGCGCCAGGCCCCGCGAGCCGCCGCTACCAACGGGCGGGAAGGCGGGGGGAGCGGCCCTGCCCCGATGGTGCTTTCGTCCGCCACCGCCGCCCCTCCCTCCCTGCTCTGCCCCGCAGCGATCGCCACCTCCTTCGCCGCTCACCCCCCTTCGCTCGGCCGGCAGCGCCGTCCGTCCTTTCCCGGCTCTCAAGGCTGCGGCTCCCCCCGCTCCGCCGCTCCGTGGTTGAGCCCAACATGGCGGCCCCGGCCCGGCCGCTGAGGTGGGGTTGGGCCGAACCATTTCGCGGGAGGCCAAAAGCTGGACGCGTCTTGGTGCTTAATTGGAAGGGCGACGGCAGAACCCTCCGTGCGGTGCTGACGCCTCAGGCCATCCCCGCGTCCAGCACCAGGCAGGAGCCGACGGTACAGCGCAGCGAAACTTGCCGCCTTCCCCCCCGCGGAGCTCCCGCCATGGGCCCGCCCGAAGGCGGCGGGGCGAGCGCGGGCGCTACCAAAGCTCCTGAGGGGGGGGGGAGGGGGGGCGGTGCTGATCGCGCGGCGCTCCGCCAACGCATCGCCTGTGCGTGGGGCTGGGCCGGCGCTGAGGGAGCCGAGCGGGGCTGAGGGTTTGAGGGTTGGTGTGAGCTGAGCGCGGGCTGTGAGTGCGCGGCCAGCTCGAGAGCTGGGCTGTGTGTTCGTTAAACCGCGGCTTTGTACCGAGGAGACTTCAGGCTGGTGCAGAAATACGTATACGTTCGGTGTGTGCTGATACATCCAAACTGACACAGGGAACCTGCAGCTTTTCTTTGATGCCATCGGGTCTAAGGGATGGCTTTAGGGGAGAAAGGCTCAGAGCGGTTCTTGAGGAAGATTTAATCTCGGTTTGCTCCTGAGATGAGCTCCTGATCCTGCTTTTTGCGTGCCCCAGCACCGTGCTTCAAAGCATCGAGACGCTGAGGTGCGGACTGTCAGCATAGAAGCGTCGTGAGGAGCTCGGGTGCTGCGGTCAGCACTTCGAGTTCAGATCGTACCTTACAGCGCAGCACCCTCCAAGCTTCGATAAAATCCTGAGTGAAAGAAAAAAAAAAAAAAAAAAAAAAGCTGGTAAAAACTAGTTTTGTAATTTATCAGGTAGCCACACGATGTCAGCCGAGCTCCGTTCAAATTCGGCTGGGTGCTGTCAGCGTCTGTTCCCTCGTTAAGCCGCGGGCAGCGTTATGAGTGGAAACGATGACTGGCGCCCTGCGGTCACTTCTCCCCGCTATGTCATGGCGCTTGGCTAGACTTTGACTTCCTGATTTTCAGCAGCACTGATGCGTGAAAGTAAGGGAAAAGCTGCTGCCTCTCCTGCCCTCACAAGCATGGCTTTTTTTTCCAGATAGGAGGACATGCAGCACTCCAGAGGACCAGCTGGATCCTCAAGATTACACGGCTTTTCCAATGGCACATTTGTGACTCAGCTTTCACAGCTCTTCACAGTTGCCTGCATTGCTGGGACAGGCGAATTTTCTGTATTACCTTTCTTCCTGTTTACGAGCTATTAGCAAATTTAAATGCTGGGTTCTTTCCTGTCGTCTATTTGCACTTTCTCTTACTTTACAGCAATTTTTGATTTATCTTCTCTTCCTTCCTTCCTTCCGTTTCCTTTCTTCTATTGAAAGTTCCCTTCAGTCCCTGTGCTGCTATCTCACTGTTATTCTTGTCTTCCAGTGCTTACTCAGCAATCCAAGGGCGAGTGGAACAACTTTTAAAGTAGAGCTTTTTGCTGACAGATGAAGTTTCTTCCTGCACGTATTGCACACAAAAATCCTAATCAGTGGGAAAATCGGGGTAAGAAGTCTGTCAGAAATGGCTTTTTGTAACACAACTGTCAAAGCTTTATGTATTTTACTGTATGCAAGTGACCTGAGAATGACAGAACTGAAAACTGATTCCTAAACTGAATCCTGAAGAAGCGTTCAAGCTCTTATCTTTATGAACTATATGAAATTGTACCTAATACTGATAGGAAATGCACAGAATGACCCATTGCAAGACCTGGGCCTCAGGTAGCCCTGTACTTCTATGTGAACTTTGTTGCCTGCAACTTAGTAACATCAGCCCTATCCTTTTTCTGATGATGGATAGTTTCTTTATGCTACAGGTTTTCCAGAAGCTTTTGCTGTGCTTACAATACATGGGACAGGTTCAGTAACTTTTATCAAGCAGTCTTTCTCTCCTTGTCAAAAATTATTTCAGCAATTGGATTATTTCTTTCACAGTATTTTTCTTCAAGACTCCTTCCACAGATTGCAAAAACAGTTTGCAGATAGAATGCCTTATTTATACCAAATAAATAGTTATGCTATTAGCTAGAGTACGGAACAATCAAGGATCTGTAGTTACACAGGAACATGTTGATTCCTCCATTCATTTTCTCAAAAAAATGCTATATGGGCAAAAAATGATGCAGTGCTTAGTTTCCAGAAGTGCTGAGCATGCAAAACTCTGCCCTCAGCTGCTGTATAAACACGATTTGAAGAGCCTCTCATCTTAAATAGCGCCATGCTTTTTTTGTTTTACACACAGCTTCAGCCTGCATCCCTTGTGAGGATCCCAGAAGAAAACAGAATCCTTCCAAACATTTGTGCCTCTGTCGTCTTTTCCTTTGAGGGGGAAAAAAAAAAAAAGTAATTTATCTTTGTAATGTTTGGGTTCCTAAGTATCTAAATCCCTCAAAATATATAAAATATTTAGCGTAGGAACCATCTGAAGGGCATGACCAAGTGGGAGCAGCAGTGAAACACTGTGGGAAAGGGTAATTCCGGGGAAGAAAATACCACGCTGTGTTGGTGCATCTCGTCTGCCAGGAGCTGTGAAGCACGGCCTGCCCTCCCTGTCACTGTGCGACTGGAAGGGCCGTCTTACAACCACCTTCTTCAGTTTTCAGGAGAAAAAAGAATAGTCTGACTGCAGCATCAGGGCTGTGTTACACCCATGAACCCCCACACTGCCAACGTTGGGTCATTTACACTGAGGTCAGGAGTGCGATCACAGGTAGGGATGTGGAATCCCAAAGCTTCTTCCCATATCCGACACAGGAGGAGCCTCTCCGATAGGACGAGGCGGCCTCAAATCGTGCCAAGGGAGCAGACAGTTACGCTCAGAACGAGCGGTGCTGCACCGGCACTGCTGCTCGCGGAGCGGCGCGGTCACCTCAGCAGAGCCGCGGCGTTGTGGCGCTGAGGCGCTCGGCTCCCACCGCAGATCTGCAACCCGAAGGACTCCGGCACTGCGCCGCCACGCGCCCCGCCGCCGCCGCCCCCCTCCCGGCCCGGCCCCGCCCGCGCTGACAGGCGGGCGCTGCGGAGGAAGGGGAGGGCGCCCGGCGGGCCGCGGCCTCACATGACTGCGGCCGCGATGGACGGCGACCCGTCCGCGGGCAGCGCGGGCGTCGGCACAGGTACGGGGGTGGGGCGGCTGCGGTCGGCGCCGCGGGGCCCTTCCTGAGCGCCGCCGGCTCGGGGATGGCGACGGGGTTCCTGCGGGGCGGGCGGTCGGGGCTGCCGCCTCCGCTGAAAGCCGAGGTAAAACGCGGCCGCCTTCCCCTTCTCTCCCCGGGGCGGCGGCCGCTCGGGCGGACCCGGCTCCGGCTGGGTTCTTTAGGCAGCGCCCGCCGTTGGTTGGCTGGGCGAGGGGCGGCTCCGCTCCGCGGGTGGGGAACGCGCAGCGAGCCGCGTCCCGCCCGGCCCGGGGCGGAGGAGCGACCGTCGGGGCTGCGGGAGGCGGCCCGGGGCGCCGCGTTTAATTGAGCCCTTCTGCTGGGGGCGGGCGGGGAACGGAGCTGCGCGGGGCGCCGCCTCGCCCGGAGCCACGCGGCCGGGCGCTGCCGCGGTGACTTTCTTGATTTCGCCTGGAGCTGCGCGCTGTGTCCGAGGCTTTGGCGCCTCTCCGCGCTGCGCCCACGGCGGGGCCGATCCCGGGCACGGGGAGACGCGGTGTCACCGCACGGCGCTGCTCCGGAGCGCCGCTTTGAGAGCTTTTTGCTCCCGTCCTCTGGAAGGAGGGGTTACGAGTGAGCGCTGTGTGCGCAGGGGGAGGCGGTGTGGTTGGAATCGAAGCGGGGAACGCGCTGAGGATTGTGCTGATGGGCCTCTGGTGCTCTTGGTGCTCATCGCGGGTTCGTAAATCAATACGTTATTTTGGAATATTTCCGTCCAGGGCTGATGTAAGATATTGGGACATTGAGCAGCAGCCTTTGTGGAAAAAATGTCCTACTGTGTCAAAGAGAGAGCTCCCCCAGGTACGTCCGTGCGGTTCTGCGGCTGCTCCCGGAGCTCGGCAGGGTGAGGCGGAGGTTCTGAGCTGCTCCCCTCAGACTTAGAAAACGTGGCTTTCTTTGGGAAGAGGTTACGTTGCGAACACGGAGCGAGCTCTGATGACTGCAGTGGAAGAGGAATATGCTGTGAAAGGAGGTATCTGTTTAGGTTGCAGCGTTCTGGTTTGGGATTGGAGATCTAGGGAAGCCAGCAGCCGTGCTGAACTTCTTCAGGGAGCAGCAGTTTGTCAGTGAGTGTTCTAGCAGGACCAGGGCACGCAAATTCTTTGATTTGCAGGATTAGAAGTATCTTAAAGGCATAAAAAAGAAGGAAAAAAAAAGTTAATGGCTGGTATATGAAGTCGTTTCTGCTGAGTTGCTTGTATTGATCTTCTAAAATTTTTTTTGGCTCATGCTAATTTTTGAGCCTGTTTTGCAGTGACTGCAGAGAACTGCGGTTGTGCTGGCTGGGATGGGAGGCTGCTCCTTCTCTTCTGATGGTAGATCTTCTGCTGTGTGTGCAGCTTCAACAAGGCTTGGGGGGAAGGCTGCACCCACTGCAGATAGCAGAGTTTGAGTGCAACTGCTCTGTTTTCTCTCAGAACCGCCAAGTTTTAGTGGGCTGGCACAGAGCAATGGAGGGCAATGTGGCAGATAGAAAAGGAGTCGGTACAAAAGGATGGGAGCATTTCAACACAATGAATGAACTTGTTAAAAATATATTAAAAAAAAAAAAAAAAGTAAAAAGACCATCCAGAGAGTGGCGTGGCTGGAGTGGCACAGTGCTTAAATACTTGGGTTGAGTTTTGCAACGCAAAAGATAACTTCTTTTGACAGGGTCTCCTTGGACAGGGGTGTTTGTGGAAACGTGGCAGTTTTATGGTTAAAATAAACTGTCCGTGTATAAAACTTATGTGTGAATTTGTATGGGACATAGCAATGGCTCATGGCTTCCTGAAAGCTAACTCCTGCAGAATGGTTGCATCTGTTCTTGTTAGTTGGGTCTCATTTTTCACACCTCCACACTTCTTTGTTAGAGCTGGGCGTGAAGATGGAGAAAAGTTCAGTCCTCCGCTGGGAGCTGAAGGCTGTGCTAGTCAGGGGTTGGCTTTTATCTCTGTAGTCTTTGTAAAAATTCCTCAATGGATTTCCCCCCTTAATCCTGTTACTTCTTCAACATTTATAGCTCCATCTCACTTTGTGTCTGCTGCAGCTCCTCTCTGTGGCTGACTCAGAGATGAAATGTGTTCCTTGTGTTCCCAGACTGGGAAATTACTTAATTAATTCACTTGATCTAGCAGCATGGTTACAGGAGCAGGGCACAAAGCTCCAAGTTGGTTCTCTGGTCTGGCATACAGATTTACTCTGTGATATTGGAAGGAGATAACTTGCTGCTTTTTCTCTCTCTTTTTTTTTTTCCTCCTGCTGTAGTATGTGATAGTGATAAGCAATTAGAGACCTATGGCTGTAGGGGAATGCAGAAATGCTAGCACTTAAGTTATTAAATGAAGCTTAGATAACCTCACTTGACTGTCTTTGAGCTGTTACACTACTGCTTTTCTTGCACCAAATCCCAAGCAACAATTTGAAGTTTAGTTGGGGAATCAAACAAAAACCAGCCAGCAAACAACAGAGCTGCCCCCAAGCCCTCAAAACAGAGGAAAAAACAGCCCAGAGCAGCCAGCACAGAGCACATGCTTGATATCCACAGTGAGGAAGCTGGAGAATTTAAGGAGGAAAGTAAAATGTTGGAGCCTGTGTTCCTATGTGTCGTTTCTGATCGCGTACTTGTTATCTTGTCTTGTTTTGGCAGTGGGCAGCATAGATTTACAACCAAATTGTTGGTCTGCAGCTGCACCATCTGTTAATCAGTGAAACTTTCCTTATACCTACAGATCTGTGGATCATTTTTATTGGACAAAGTAGGCTTTTTCCTTTCCCAGTAAGAATGATGTGGTTTAAAGTTCCTTTGAAATACAGAAACAACTGAGTTGTGTACAGTTGTCTCAGTCTTAAAAATATCTGAGGCCTTAAGAAGAAAGGTGGTTTTCTTGTTTTTGTTTTTTTTTTCCCCTAGAACTTCTGTTTTTTCTTTTTTAGTTTTCAGGGGATTTCAGATTGTGTAAGCATAATAAAAAATAAAAAACAAAAAGGAAGGGAGTTACTGCTGTAGTGGCATAGTGCTCTTGGAGGGGCTGGGATGGACACTGGAAGAGAATTCTCAGACCAGGGAGGAATGTGTTGGGCACAGCTGGGGGAAAGGCATTTCCACAGCTCCTGAGGCTTCTCATGAGAAGGCAGAAGGGAAGTGCTGATGTCTGATTGCTGTTGAAGTGTGCCTTGCCTGGGAGCTCGTGGTGGAGCCTGCGATTTTGCCAGGTGGAAATGTGAGGTGTCAGCACACAGAAATACACACTGCTGGGGCTCTGTTTCCGAGTGCTGCTGCCTTCTGCCCCCGAGGCCGTGGCTGTGATAACGGCAGGGAAGCAGTTACTTTTCCTGAAGGCATTCCTCCCTTTAACATTCCTTTCTCCTTACAGTCAGACTGCTACACATGCAACTAGTGATTCCATGGCACCTTCTACTTAAGCATGTCTCATACATTGAGTGGATTAGCACCCGAGTGTGATAAAGAGCAGCATGTGGCAGTCAGCTGCAGTCCAGAGAGAAACCCTCCAGCTTTGGCTGCCTGCAGTCCAGCAGGGAGGGAAGATGGGCACAGCTGTGCAGGGTGGGTTGTAGGGTGGCGTGGAGGCTGCTGGTGTGGGATGGAGTGGTGAGTTCTGGGTGCTGACTGGAGCCCAAAATGCGTGGTATGGGGGGGCACAGCTTTCCTTTTTGATTGTTCCCTGTGCCCTTTCAGCCCAAGGGCTACCAGACGTACAGGGCAGCAGCAAACAAAAACTAGGCTGTGCTTTAAACGCTTCCTTAAGCTTCTACTTCTTGTCTCTTCGCTCTCTGTCTGTTTGTATATGTATGCATATGTGTTTTCCTTCTAACTTTGATATCAAATTGTTTTCAGTTACCCCAGGCTGCTTCCCTGTGTCTTATCGACAGCAGATTGAAAAGCTCTGCTGTGGCTGAGAGATAGCTTGCACAAAGAGCTCATTTCATTTTATCTGCTTCCCTGTGTTCCAGGGTACCATTCCCTACCTCATTTCTGTGTTCATTTACAGCTCTACGTATATAAACTTTGCTAGATGATGATCTGAGATGAAAGGGAACGTTTCAAAATTAGCTGTTCTCCAGCAGAGCGCGTGATGGGAAGCATTAAGTGTTTTGTTACAGTGTGTGTAAATCCTTTTATTGCTTGAATGCAGGAGCTCATACCAATGAGTTCCCGCTATTATCCACCATTCCTGGCCTGTATTATCCACCATTTCTGGCCAGGGCTCTCCAGGCTGTTTGTGAATTGACTCTTCAGTAAGCAGGGTGAAGGACAGGCTGCTGAATGGTTGCAGTGTGTTGTTCTGCAGGGTTAATGTTACTGCTGGAGTGGTGTTTTCTGGAACAAATTAATAGCTCCAAAGTAACTGTCCTGTTCTCAGACCAGTGCTTGAGGGTGCAAGCTCACGTTGGCTAGCTGTCCTGTTAATATGAAAGACATGTTATTAATTAAAAGTGTATTTATTCACTCTGTACAGTTATCTGATTTGTATGATTTGGACAAGGTGGGATGTAGAGAAGCTACAGAGCATTTCGGGAAGACCGGATGTGCTGATAAAGAGAAGGTATTTCCTGTAGATGAGTTTTAGAACACAAATTTAAGGAATAAATTAGCAAAGTATATCAAGTGAAGGAACGTCATGTCTTGATCTCTGTGTGAGGTTCACTGTGGTAAACGTGGGAGTCCTTCTCAGCATCAGGTGGTGCACAGTTTGAGTCCTGCAGCAGATCCAGGGACTTAAAGGATAGCCACGAAGCCTTCAGTATTTTCTCTGTAAGTCCTTTCTTGTGATCCAAATCTGTTCTCACCAGGGCTGCTCATCAGCTGGTGCTGAGCCCCTGATCAGGGAGCAGTGGGTGCCATGGAATCGCAGCTGGCCGGCAGGGCAATGGAAGGCAGGCAGAGAGGCTCAGTAGGCAGCAGGAGGGTCGCGTTGGTGCAGATCCGTGCTGCTCTCAGAAGCAGGTGGGTTGTGTTTGGACCAGCTCCTTTTTGGAAGACTTGTTTGCTGTGACTTCCTCTGAAATGTGAGCCAGTGGTTGAGCCGTGGAATTCTGTTTAAGCATGTGTGCCTGCATGGCAGAAATAACCAAACCTCCTGCGTCACGTTGCGTTTCAGTCATGCGAATGAGCAACTCAGACCACGAATTACCAGGGCGTACAGCCGGAGAACCGCTGCTCCAGGAGCGAGGCTGCCTTGTGCTTTTCATAGTGCTCTCTGCATGTGTTTTTGGTGCTGCTGCTTGATAGCATGGCTGCTGATACCCTGCAGCACCATCAGATATTAGAGGGAGGGTTTTACTACACTAGGAAATAATTTGCCTTACTCTCTGTGTCCTGAGCTCTTTTTTTTTTTTTCCCTTCCTTTCCTTCTCAGTTCAGCATCTATTTGAAATGTAGTATAGATATACTAACTTTTTATCCAGCAGAGTCCCATATCAGCTTGAATTAGCATGTATTTTTTAGAACAGATTTCTGGCAATTAACTGGAACTTTTAGAAGCTCTTTGTAGGTGGCGTTAACAGGTGATTATTCAATTAAAGCACAGGTGTTAAGACTTGCTTCTCTGAGTCATGTTAGCAGGAATCTGAAGCCTGACAAGACGTGTGGTATAAGGTCATTTGTCCTGGGTTTGGGTTGAACTCCTTGAGCCCTTCTACAGAACAGAGACTGAAGCTGCATATCTGAGGAGTTGGAGGCTGCCTGCTTTCTCTATTTTTCCAGAGCCTTGAGCACATGGAGAAACAGGTGGGAAACACTTAAGAGAAAATCAGGGCTTTCAAGTTGAGGTTATGAATCTGTGTCTTCTTGAAGGACCTCCTAAGGCAGATACCAACCTTTTCAACTATGTATCAAAGTTTGCAGGGGAGATTCTTGCTTCTGTAGTTACTGTCTTCTCGTGTTGTCAACATTTAGGATGTGTTTATAAAGGGCTGCAACTTCTACACGCTTGCGGTGAGGGAATGGTTAATGCTCCACAGCAGGGTTGAATCCACTAATGAAACTTGCTTTGTAAAAGGGCTTGCTCACCATCTCTCTTAGACAGACATATTTGGAGAGGAAGCAGCTCATCTGTTCCAGACAGGGGAGCAGAACCCAGGTGTGGGTTGAATAGATTCCAGGATTATATCCACATTCTGTCTTCTCCTGTGTGTAAAATGGGTAGGAAAAAAAAAAAAAAAGAATTGGTTTGTAGAAGAATGTGAGCTTGCTTTCAATCATGTAAAATATGGAGTCAAATTCAGAGAGTGGACTTCAGTTTGGTCATTCAGAAATGAGAGCACTCCAAATCTTCCTCCTTTTCCCTTCTTTGGTGCACTCTCTCCTATGACCATATTGTTATAGCCACCTTTTTTCCCTTTTGTGTCTTGCTGTGAATTAGTTAGGATCTTTCTGACCAAAGCTGCCCAGCTATGGCTGAATTCAGTGTGTGGGGAAAACAAAAAAAACCCCCAAAGTCAACAAAATAAAAACCAAACAGGATGGGTTTATCTACAAGCAATAGAGTCTGTGCATTTGTAAGATTTTGCCTGAGCTTGCTGAAATAGAGGAACTCTAGGGTTGATAAACATTGCTAGGATCTGTTTCCTGCTGCTATTGAACTTAAACATACTGACATAGTAAATTACTGCAAATCATGCACGCTCCAGCACACTGTCATACAATTTAATATAGCTATGTCAAACAAAGTGTCTCTTTCCTTTGTAATGGCATGTGAAATGAATGTAATAACTTTCTGTAGAGCAGTAAAATAACACGTTTTCTTTACTTCCACGATTTGTTCTAGGCAGGATCCAAAAGTGCTGAGCCAGGGCTTCATTCATTTTGGCAGATCCTGCTGTGGTGGGAGCTGGACAGACAGGAAACACAGGCCTCCGAGCTGAATCACGGCATGAATTTGGCCTGTGATTCTTCTGCATAGTAGAGATGGCTTCCTCACCCGATATAATTGGTGGTGCTTCTGGGTGTAGTGCAGAGGGAGGTACCGATGTCTTGAACGTGTGGGAAGTAGCATAGCCTCCTGGGGGAGGAGTGGCTCGAGTGCTCTTCTGGTGGTGTTGCACCACTGTGGGAACTCTGAGAGAGGGAACGGAATATTTGAAGTTTCCTTTTGCTATATCATCTCAAGATCTGTTGGACTGTTTGTTTTATCTCTTTTTGTCTTTCAGATTTTGCGAAGCCTCCAGTAAATGAAACGCGGGAATCGGAACAATTCCTAATGCAGGCACCCCCAGGAAATCCACTGCTGCTTCCCCACACCCTGCAAGAGCTATTGAGCAAGGATAGCGTGCAGGTGGAGCTCATACCTGAGAAGAAAGGTCTTTTTCTGAAACATGTGGAATATGAAGTTTCCAGCAAGGTAACGTGAGCAAGCACTGGTTTCAGTGAGATCGTGTCGTCTGAGGAATCTCTGTGCACTTGCTTTTGGCAAAGTTCTGTCTGAGTTGCTCTTTGGGATGATGCTGGTTTGGGTAGGTCGGGTGTATTGGGTGGATTTAAATGCACTGGCTTATGCCTTCTTGACAAGTGCTTCTGCAGTGTGGCACGTCGTCTTAGCTGAGGTCTGATGCATCGTCAGCTAGTTTTGCAAAGTCACAGGGTAATATTCAGGTTACTGGCTAACCAGACACACCTGCAATGTGAGCTCTGTACAAAAGCAGATGTATAACTGAAAAATCAATGATTCCATTATTCTGTAAAAATCAGTGATTCCATTATCCTGTGTTTCAGACTATTTAGAACTTGTGAAGAAATAATATTGGCAGTGCTAAACTGAAATCCTTAATAAACAGAAAAGTTACAGAAACAGAAAATCCTTCTGCAGTCGGGGTCATTTCCAGTTTCCTTGTCCTAATCCTGACCTGTGGGTTCCTCTCGCGGGGTTGGCAAAGGGTGGAGTTGATGCATCTCTTCCTTTTTATGGATTGGACAGTAAAATAGCTCTCCAGTAGATTGGGTGGCTTTTTTCAACAAAGTAATCTATTCGAAGTAGACTGAGCAATTTGCATGTCCTAGGCCACCAAAAAAAAAAAGCAGTTACTGAGCAGCAATCGAACTGTTGTACATATTTGGCATCACTTATTTGTGGTGACATTTATGGCTTTAGATTAATGTCTGGAAGATCATCAAAGATTGTTGTACGGGAGAAATGGCAAACAGAAGGAATGTTTCTGTGAGCTCTTGAGGACTCTGTGTTTTTTGCCCATGACTGCAAGATACTGGTTGGAAGGACTCTGCTGGTTCTCTCTAGGTTTTGAATTTAGGAATCCATTACCAACTCATCTCAGTTGCTCTCATCCCTCTCAGTTCTAGCTGTAGATGCTTCTGCAGGAAGTAGAATAACTTGCCCTTGATCTTCATCGAGGAACTGCAATGCAAATCAGCATCAGATTTCAAATCAGACAGAGGGAGGCCCTAGGGGCTGTTCCAGTTGTGCTCCAGTTATCTGCCTCCTTACTTCTGAAAATGCATAGTGACATTGTAAGTGGTGGGTGATGTGCAAAGCAAAAGTGGTAAGAAAATGTAGAGTCGTGTGTAGTCTTTCTTACAAGCTGTTCCAGTGCAGTATTTTCTACCACCTTCCTACCACAGCCCCCTAGAAATGAGGAATATTTCATTTCTGTGCTCTCTGGGTGTGATTTTCTTTTCTTTTCTGCAGCTTATGTTAGGAAGTTATGGAAATGCTGCTGGTTGTCCAGCCTGGATTGTTGGTTTGATTTAAAGTTGTTATTTCTCTCTTCCTCTATTGCAGAGATTCAAATGCTCGGTCTATAGGCGGTATAATGATTTTGTGGTGTTCCATGAGATGCTGCTGCAGAAGTTCCCATATCGAATGGTGCCAGCGCTTCCACCAAAGAGGATGCTGGGAGGTAACCTTGGGTCTTTGTTTTGTCTGGAAGTTGCTGTGTGAGTGTGATCAAGATGGTATCACTGAAAATAAATAATTGAAAGAGCTCAGTTCAGGACTGGCAGCCCGCTGATGTTAAGTGAACAGCTTCAGCAGGACATTGTGTGTTGCAGCGTTCCTTCACACAGAAGCCTTATGGCAACATTAACCACACTTGGAGCTTACCTACAAAAAGGTTTCCTTGCAGATTACCAAGTGCCTTAAGTGACCATTTCCCTCTTTATTTTTTTTTTTTCCTGTTATAAGAAGAAGCTTGTCGATCTGCTTCAGGTAACTAGAAGTTTAAAAAAAAAAAAAAATAAGGCTGGAATTGATGTCATTTCACTCAGGTATGCTGTAGCTGTTAGAAACCAATGAAGTAACCCAAAACAAAAGGCATATCAAAGCTCCTTCTCAAACATTTTTGTAGGCACCATTTTTAAACTTCTGTTATTTAAAATGTTGCACAACTGTATAAGATCCTACCTTGTTTTTTGCTTTATCTGTGGAAGAATGAGCTTTTCACTGCCTTGTCTCCTGCCCACACTCTAAGTTTAAAATGTTTCTGTAAATAATTGATTTTAGTCGAGGAGTCCAGGTATTGCTACAGTAAAAAGGAGCTGATAAATGGGTTTGTAGTAAGCCAGAACAAAACAAAATAACACTATTGGGAACTTCCAATGGTCATGCTTTACAATGGAGTGCAAACTGTAAAGATCTTTCTTTTGAGGTTGTGAAAACTAATCTCTGAAGTTGGCCTGATTCAGTGTTCTCCGCTGGGACTTCCAGGATTTCTGCTTCATGCAACACCTGTAAACAAAGTGACCTTTCTGATCTATCTTAGCAGAGAGAAGATGCTTGAAAGATGTTTCCAATACATAAAACCTGTCTCTTCTTATTTCCTAGCATTTCTGATGTGCTGATATTTCTCTGTGTTCACTGGAGCATTTCTTCTCATACATGTGAGATGTCTTATAAGAAATCTGATAGCACTGTTTGGGAACAAATGCTAGTAGAACAGTCCTGATGTAGTCCAAAACTTTAAGGCAGAAAGTGATGTTACTTTCTTCTCCTTCAGATTTATTTTAGTTGAATTTCTTTCATCTTTCCTGCAAAGATGCTGGGATCTCTGATGTGCAGCCTTACTGCATTGCCACCAGATTGAAACCCTTCCTGTTTTGAGAAGGAGGATGAACTGAACTCCTTCCAGTTGGACAAGGAAGGTCTTTGGATGGATGTACTGCAGGTTGAAATGTAGATTTCCAGGGCACTTTCAGTACTCTGGGAAAAAGATAAGTGCAGATATTGGCAAAGCAGCTGAATAAACCCAACCCTTTCTTTATTTCTGGTCTTAGACTCAGTTGTTTAACCTGCTAACTTGACTTGTGCTGTGGAAATAAACACGTGAATATATATGCAGGATATTTCAGTGAGATATGAAGTACCACTCGAGGGAACAGTTGAACCATTCTTTGGTTTTCTTCAAGTGCTTCAGCAAGGTTTATAAGTATGAGCAAATTACTGGACAGTGTGTTTTATTTTTTTTCTTTATGAGCAGCTGTAATTTTGTGCTCTATTAATTGAAATTTGGTGTTCCTTCCTGTAGCTGATCGAGAATTCATAGAATCAAGGAGGAGAGCTCTGAAGCGCTTTATAAACCTGGTGGCTCGACATCCCCCCTTCTCAGAAGATGTGCTCTTGAAGCTCTTTCTGTCATTCAGTGGCTCAGTGAGTATTTGTTGGTGATAAATCTGAGTTTGCACACCTTCCTGTCACTGCTCTCCTGGGCAGAGTTCAGAGTTGTTTTTGACCTACATGTTGTTGCTCTCTGTGATGAGAAACATTTTCTCTCAGCCAGAGAGGCTGTGGATGCTCCGTCCCTGGAGGTGTTCAAGACCAGGCTGGATGGGGCCCTGGGCAGCCTGATCTAGTAGCAGATCTGGATGTTGGTGGCCCTGCTGGTGATGGGGGAGTTGAAATTTGATGATCCTTGAGGTCACTTCCAACATAAGCCATTCTATAATTCTGTAATAATTCTATGATACTTTTGTAGCTGGAAAGTGGAATGTAAGTTCATTTGATGCCAGGAATGCAATATTTTGAAAATGGTAACTGTTATTAGGAGAATACTAATGGCAATTCCCCTCGAACTAAAGTTAGCCTGAATAAAGCTCAATCTGATAAATTGTGACTTATTATTACAATATGAGAGTCCTCTGTAGGCTTACTTTCCTTAGAATCAAATGAGCATGAAAGAACTGTGTCTTCTTTAGGATGTACAGAATAAACTAAGAGAGTTGGTGCAGGGAGTGGGAGATGAATTTCTGACCTGCAGATTGGCCACCCAAGCCAAGGTATGTATACACATTTCTTACCTCGTTTAATGCTGATTTAAATGTGTCTCTTTTCCAGGTGGATCAGTTCTGGTGTTTGTTTAGTGATAGAGTTCTTAGGTAGGAGAGAGCTGTTTTCAGATTTGGAAGGACTTTCAAACTCCTAATTTCTTAGGAAACAGAAATAAATATTTGAGCCTGAAGGCCTGGTAGTTCTACCTAAACGCTGGTTTGTGAACATGAGACAACAAATCCTGCTCAGAACCTGATTTTTAGTGAATACTTGTACTTGCATAGCAAACAAATCACCAGGCCACATGATTTAAGATCTAATGTCTAGACTGATGTTGTCTTGTGTTCAAGTCATCGTTCTGTCCTTTTCACTGTGGGAGAGTAATTTGGATTGCTTTAGAGAAGTCAGGTGGAAGTTCTGCATTGATCTCTTTATCCCCAAGTGATTGGTGCTGTGGTGAACTTTCAGTGTACATTCACTGTTCATTGAGCAATTTCGAAGTGGTTGTTCAGGTACTGCTAGCAGAAGGTTTTGCAATTGAAGCTTAATTGAGGCTCTACTGGTGATGCACAGGTCAGAAAGAACTTATTTGAACTCTCAGTACGTGCTCACCTTAGCAGTGCTGGCAGCTATTAGTAGCTTCTGATCAGAATTTTTGAACTGGAAACCTCCCAGTTCCTGCTCTGTGTAGTAGAGTTGTGCATTTTGGTATCTGTATTTGATCCTCTTTCTGCCTCTGAGATTTGGGGGTGTTTGTGTGACATCTGACGTGTATATCTAAATTATAAAACTGATCTCTCCAGGGTTGTCACAGCATGGGGGGAGAGAGTGCCAGAGATGTTTGTCTCTCTCCTAACTGTCTGGTGCACCTATGGTTGTGGTATGTGAATATGCCTCTCGTGTATCCACTAGTAACGTCCCTTGTGCTTCTTCAGGACTTCCTCCCAGCTGACATACAGGCCCAGTTTGCTGCCAGCAGGGAGCTCATCCGGAATATTTATAACAGCTTCTACAAGCTCCGGGACCGTGCAGAGAGGATAGCATCTCGAGCCATTGATAATGCCTCAGATCTCCTCATATTTGGGAAGGAACTAAGGTAGGTTGGGTGAAATAAGATTTGTTCATGTGAACGCTTCTCCTGTTGCTTTGGAACTGAAAGCTGTTGTGAGGGTTACTTGCAAGTGATCTAGTAAGAATGTGTGTTTGAATGCATGCTGTATGCACTAATCAAGTTTTCCTAACTGAAAAATAAGAAAACCTGGGCTGCATTCCACAGACCAACAGAAATAAATAGCAATACTTTGACACTTCGGTGCTGATTATATTGTCTCTCCTTCCAGAATATACTTGGCAATGTCTTTGTGACTGTGCAGTAGTACCTCTGTGCTGTGAGCTCTTTGAAATTCTGAACTGCTTTCTGCAAACTAGTGCATCTACCAAGTGGAGTTTGTTCTTAAACTTAATCATTAATTCTGTTCTCCTAGTGCTTTGGGCTCAGACACTACACCTCTTCCTTCCTGGGCTGCTTTGAATAACAACACGTGGGGGACTTTGAAACAGGCCTTGAAGGGTCTGTCTGTTGAATTTGCACTTCTGGCAGATAAGGCTGTGCAGCAGGTGAGTTCATTTTTTTGTGTGTGTGTTCCTTTTTGTATAATGAGGAAGGTGCATTGCTGTCTTATGTTTCATCTTGAATCATGAGCTCTACAGGTGTAGATATTTAAAAAGTTAAAAGGGAGATTGTAATCCAAGCTTGCATCCTCAGCCACCAGCCTGCTTGTTCAGGTGTGAATGAAAGAGCTGGACTGTTTGAATGGGGAAAGAATATAATGGGGAAAAAGAAAGGAGGGAACTGCCTGCTTTCTTTTTTCCTTTTCTTTCTTTTTTCCTTTTAGGTGGTTATTGGACAAGTGCAGTTGTGTTGCTGTACTGAGCTGTCCAAAAGGCCTGTGTTCTGTGTTATTTACCTGCTGCAGAGAATCCAGAACTTCTGAATCAAATTTTGATGTTCATGTTACTTAGACAATACACGAGAATCATTCAGACAGAAGTGCCCTGTGTGAATGTGCAATGTAATAATGACAGAACGATGTGAGATTGTGACAGGCTGGAAAGCAAAAGTAATAGTTTTGTCTTCTCATCTCAATGCGTTAAAATATTCAGCACTCTTATATAGATCAGTCAGACCAGTCTTTTTCTCTAGAGTTTGTTTCAGAGAGCTCTACTGATATGGGAAGAAAAGGCAGTATTTAGTAAAATGGGGGGAAAAAAAAGTTGTCAAACTTAGCTTGGTGTCTCATTTATGCTTTCTGATGTATGAACTATTATGGGAAATATGCAGGTATTTATAGATTTAATGGATTAATTATCTTATAAGAAGGAAAGGCAAAAATTGGAGGAGCCTACAAAAACAAATTTTGAGGCAGAGAGATTTGAAAGGCCTGGCATGCAGCACTGGGAAACTAACTGCTCTGGTTATAATAATCAGTCAATTGAAATAGCTGTTCTCACTTCAGTTCGGGTTTTTGTTCTGCGTGCTGGAGACTGAGCATTACTGTTATGTCTGAAAGGTTTTTGATGCAATTGTGTAAGCACTGATATGCTCCAGAGGGTACTGTGGAGGGCCTGCATGGAGTAAGGATTTGAAGAACTGTGATGTTGGTGCTTGCCAGTCTTACATAAAATGTACTTTTTCCTTGTTTTCTAGGGTAAACAGGAAGAGAATGATGTGGTGGAGAAGCTGAACCTTTTCCTGGATTTACTCCAGTCCTATAAAGTGAGCTTTGCTGTTCTTCTGCCAGTGAAAAAGTTGTTTAGAGCAAACTTGTGCTCTTCAGAAGGTGTGATGCCAACAAGATGGAAAAGTGTCTGGGAGGGCAGTTTGGAGGCACAGAGGGGATATGGCAGAGGGATGGGAGTGGCTGTTAGCCTTAGTTAGCTGCATAGCCTTACTGATCAGCTATTCTTGTGATGAGATGTTGCCAAATGGCAAACACATCTGGGAGGAATTCAGAAATCTGACTGCTTGAATTGCATGGGCCAGCCAACCTTTTTCCAGATTTGACTGCTTTTGAGTAAACCAGTGAATGAGATGTTTTGTCAGTGGAGGCAATTTGTGAGCTCAACCACAAACAAAAGAATTTTTTTGATATCAATCTCTCAGTCGAAGGCACTTCTTTTAGAAGCACCTAGTGAAACTGTACTTGGCAGCCTCTCCTGACGTTCCCATGCTGGGACTAAAATAGAAGGGCACTGGGAAGCTATTACTACAGTTAATTGCCAGCACTTAATATTGAGAAGGTCACGGAAGATAAGTGGTCTGATAAGATGCAAAATGTTGGCCTAAGTGATGTTCTGGATTGCTTGGACCTGTGCCACTGAGCTTAAGTGGCACTTCTGTTTCTTGAACTCTTAGCTAACGTTTTTACCCTCCTAAGAAGAAAAAAAAAATATCTGCAGCATAGAAATATATTAAGCATGACAATGTCTTTGTATTCCTGATGTAAATGGCTTGCCTGCTTGCTGTCCCTTAGCACCATGCCCTGCTTCCACTCAATACCTACTTCTTATTTGCTTCTCTTCCTCTATAAAGGACCTGTGTGAAAGACATGAGAAGGGGGTACTGCACAAGCACCAGCGAGCATTGCATAAGTACAGCATGATGAAGAAGCAGATGATGAGTGCCACTGTGCAGAACAAAGAACCAGAATCAGTGGAGCAACTGGAATCTCGAATTGTGGAGGTAGTGCAGATGCATGGGGAAAGCAGAGAGTGGTACAGCTCAGTCATATCTGCAAAGAGCCATTAGCCTGGAAATGTAGCTGATACTTGAGTAATTTGAGCTATCTGCTGTGCTCCAAGGATAGCACATTTGTTTTCCTCAGTTATTTACCAGTACTTATTACTGGTTCTCTGGCAACATGACGTTTTCAGGAAATGAGGAAAGCAGTATTCTGTGTGATGGAAAGTGCAGTTGCTGTCATATCACATGATTGCACACGCTGCCTTTTTAGGTTCCTGTTACGTGTTTGAATTGCCAGTTGGTGAGGAATACTGTTTTCTCCTGCTGCAAACGGATCTCCTTAGCACTCTCTTCCTGGCATTGTGTTTCACAGAATTCCTTCTCTTTTAGCAAGAAAATGCCATCCTAACTATGGAGCTTCGGAATTACTTCTCTTTGTATTGCCTGCATCAGGAGACACAGCTCATCCATATCTATCTGCCCCTCACATCTCACATCTTGGGGGCCTTTGTCAATTCCCAGATCCAGGGTCACAAAGAGGTGAGTTCTTTGACCTATGCCCTTTTTCCCAAAACAATAATGAAAATTTTGAACTGATTTGTGTTCTCCTGTGAGTCTTCCTCCTCTAATGATCAATCCATTTGGGATTTTTCATAACTTATTAAAAAGTCATCTAAGGTATTTTCAATGAGGGGTGAGGATCAAGGCTTGCCTGTAACCCTTCTAAAGAAAGATTCCTGTTAAGTCATTATAGCTCCACCGAAAAGAGATATGCTGGACTTCTCCAAAGTGCTCTATCAAACTTGTGTTGTGCTGTTGGGTATCTTGAAACTGCTGCTAAAAAAAAAAAGAGTGGTGAGTTCCTACCTTACCTCGTTCTCCTGCCTGTGTTCTCTCCCTTTCTACTGACAGATGAGTAAAGTTTGGAATGAATTGAAGCCGAAGTTGAGCTGCCTCTTCGTGGGATCTAGCAATATGCCAACTCCACCATTGTCACCTCCAGATGGAAACTTCTTTTCCAATTAATACTCCGAGTACCTACCGTGAGCAAGAAGTGCAATCAAGGGAGGGGTCGGACCTCTACCTCCAGATGTTAGAATGAATCCTCCAAACAGCTTTTTTTCTTTTTAAATACTGCTGCTTTGAGCTGCTCTCTGATTTAGACAGACTGGATGTGGGGCAGAACATACAGATAAAAAGACACTCTTAATTTTGGAATGCTCTAGGGCAGAGCTGATTTTCGTTATCTTGCAGACTGTCTTTGTGGGGTCAGGAAGTGGCATGGTGCTGTAGGTGCTGCAGTGTTATCACTGATGCCTCTGCATTTTGTACTAACTGTCCTCCCAGAAGGCTTATCTGCACATACACACATGCTGAGAAGCTTCTGAAGTGCTGAGATAAACAGGATATCTGAAGCACTTGCTCATAGAGGAGATATGGATTTCCTTTTAAGTTTGGGAGGGGCCTGTGTTATAGGCATGTGGGGAAAAGGAAAGCTGAAAGCCATCCCATGGGTAGTTGGCTGGATTTGAATTCTTACTGCTAAATCTTAAAGCAAAATATATGAACAAAGTGTCTGGGGTCACTAACGTGGTTGGGTGCAGGACAGCACTGCTGTAGCACAATCATTTTTCCCATGGAGACTCAGCACAGTGTGTCAGTGTTGATTCAGTTCATGGTGGCAGGGCAGCCTGGGGACTTGCTCATCTGATTCAGTCATAGGCTGAAGATGACTGGGTTGGGTAACCTAGAGGAGTTTGCCTGGCATAAATGGGAACGTAATTGAATGAGACACTCCTTGACTGTAATCTACTTGTGTTATCCAAGCTGGACAGCTACAGCAGAGCATTTCAGTTTAATTTCTCCTGGAGGTTCTGACATCCATCTGCTGAGTCGCTGTTTAGGACTGTGGGAGAGCTGTGACCCCATGGCTGGTGTCTCCTCTGGTCCAGTATGAAATGAAGGATCCTGTTATGCTGGTAGGCTGGGACACAGTGCTGATAAAATGGATTAGCAGAAATCAGTATTTATTGGAAATTACTGCATTTGTCTTTTCCAGCTCTGGATGGCACTGGAGTGTGTGAAGAGAAGGCAATGTCAGTGGCAGTTCTTTCTCTCTAGAAATAGCACAGCCCTCAGTAATGGGGTTTTCAGGATGATATCTGATAGTGATAAAGGGACTAATTATTCTCCATGTCTCACTTAGTATCTCCAGTGACTTTTCCTCTTGAGGCAAATGGCAGGGGGAGAACTCGTGTGTCATGTTACTTTAGGGGGAATTTTATCCTCCAGAGAAAGTGATAAGTGAAGAAACTATAAACGTATACAACAAAACTCAGTGTGATCAGGACTCCCCTTAACTTATCTTTGTGGGACCAAGTGAGCTGCCAAAGGGGAGCTTGACACTTGGCTTCTTACTGTTTTCTTCTTTTGGTAGAAAGGAAGCACGTTATGAAGGGTGAATGCTCACTGTTAAACTGGAACTGTTACAGTATTTTCCCTTTGGGGAACTTCCTCAGTAGCAGGAAATAGATTTAAATCTTCCCATCACAAAAGGCTTTTTTTTGTGTGTCTTTTATTTAGAAAATTAAATGCAACAAGAGATCTTCCTCAACCAGGTGGAAATTATGAGTTAGATTCAAGAGCAAGATAATAAGCTACTTGCCCAGTTTCATATCCCCATTTCCCCTTCAGTATGAGGGAAAGTGCACTTTCTCTGGGTGAAGTTTAGGGGTGCTGGGCCTTAAGGAGTGTGTAGGGTGCTTATTTAACAACCTTGTTCAGAATACACTATCAAGAGTTTTTTTATAGCAATTCAGATGTTAACTCTCTTCTGAGTCTTTCCTCCTATGCACTGCCCTGGTCCACTAACTGAAATGGTTGTGACGGATCTTTCCCGAAGATTTCCAAAGCGATGTAGAAGAGATTCTGTTTGCAAACCAGAGCAAAACTGGCTGGGGAGGGAAATGCTTCTACAGTAAAATAGCAAATAAGGCATCATCTCAAGAATGGCACAAAAGGGGCAGGTAGGGTTTGTTTGGGTTCTTTTCCCCCCTTCCTTGCTTGACCTTATGTTGACTGGGAACGTAGTAAATGTAAAAAACATTCAAGCGTATTCTTAAGTGCTCTTCATCCTACTACCTTTAGAAGTTGCTGGCTGGTTATAGGCAGTGACCTGTTTTGTCTTAGTACCCATCCTCCTTTATTGAGCTTTGATTGTTGAAGTGGTGAGCAAATTGAGAAAATGCTGTATGTGCCAGAGGAAGATCTGGTCTGACTGGGGTGTGCTCTGTGAGCTTCTACTTGGCAAGTTCTCTGCAATGAAACATCTTTTTTTCCCCCTAACTGAGAAGTGCAAAGTATAATTTCAGATTTTAAAAACAAAAGAAAAGAGTTTGCTATTCTTCCAAGCAAGAATTCTCTAGTTCCAATGTACAGACTGCCATACGTATGCACAGACCACACAACCTCTATAAAGAAACTGGAATTATGTTATCTGAGAAAACACTTGTTATTACATTGTCAGCTGTTGCCTCTTTGAGGACAGTGGTTTTGAAGTGGGATTTTCTTGGTTTTTTTTTTTGTTTTTTTTTTTAATTCATCTACTATTTAGAAAACAGAAGGCTGGTATCCTCAAAGCTGATACAGCTAATGGCACTCTGAGTTCATTTCATACTGAACTGTCAAGCTCCTGTCCAGAGTTTCATACAACCATTCATTTTCAAACCTTCAGTGTGGGAGACTGACCCATGTGCCAACAGCAGTGTCATATTTACGTCAGTAGCTGAGGGATTTCTTTACTGTTTTGGTCCTGCTGAGAGATGTCAGGCCTGCGGACAGGTCCTACTGTCTACAGTGTCCTTGCTCTAGAGGAATGCAGCAGGGAATCAACTGAGTTGTCTTCAGTTCTCTATCTATCCTATTTACAATGTACAGGGGATAGAACTAGTTGCCTCTGTGCTGCTGTTTACAGCAGCAAACTGACTATCCGCAAGGGTGAGAACAAGACTTCAGCTGTTGTTCCGTTGCTGTAGCTGGGTGGGTTGCAATAAGCACTGAGCAAACTATAAGAATAACTGAAGAGCTGCCTATCGAAGTACTGCTGCTCCTGTAAGATGTTGCACCAAAGAGTTAATGTGCCTTCTCGAGTGGAAGCTTTCTGCGTAGTGCTGGAGCTTATGGTGACTCTCTTGTGTTTAAAAATAACAATGATAGAAAAGGCCTCCAGTCTTTCTGTCTGTGTCTCAAATATCATGGAGGTATCAGGGTCGCAAACAATGGGGACCTGGAAAAATGTCTTATCAGAAGGGCTATATGTTTTTGTCACTCTTAAGGTCACCTCTGCTCTAAGCTGTGACTGGCACTATTCAGGCTTTTTGACCAACATTGTATGTTGAAAAGCTTTCCAAATGACTACATTTACAATACAACCTTGATCTTTGCTTCTTTTCCTCTTTCCCTCTTCTTTGAAAGCTGCTCTTTGTAACATTTCCAACAGTGCCTTGCTGCATTCCCATGCTTTTACTCTTCTACTCTGATCACACAGGGGTGCAGTTCCTGGCATTTTTACAGACTAATTCATGGTCTCCACTTTCTGCTGCTCCTAAAGGACAAACTACTACCTGGGGGCTGTAAGCAGCCTCCTCACCTGCAGCACAAGAAACAGTCACTACTCGTGAGCGAAAACTCAGTGCTGGTGAAAGCACCTTCATAAAAGGATTGATTGCATAATAAATGCAAGTGCAGGCCTGAGCTGTGCTTGTTCTTTTCTTATCCACATTCCCAGAGCAAGAGAATGTAATTTGTTAGTTCCTGATTTACAGTTTCCACCAGGAAATAAATTGGGATAACATAAGAAGTTATCAGCTGCCAGTCACTCCCTTTTCTACCATGCAGTAAGGTTTTACATCCCATTACTAACAACCTTACCTCCTTGTGCTCACTTTCTCTCCCTTCTTTGCCTCAAGCCATTCTCTGAACTAGAACAGCCAGAAACTCATACAGCTATATCAGAAACACAGATGAGTATCAAAAGCTTTGTAAATAAGTCATTGTGCAGCACAAAAGGGAAAAAAAAAAAGTATAAGATAACTCCTATCCTTTAAGTCTGAGCTGTGGCTTATGGAGCAGATGAAGCAGGACATTTTTTTTTGTGTGATGTGAGTGATTCAGAATTGCAGGGAGGAGAGGAGAAAAAACAATCTTGTTCAGAGGGTATGAATTTTGCCTGCCTGGAATATCCTGTATCTTTGCTTTGCTCAAATAGCCTTATGTATGAAGCACTTTATCCAAATGCAGGAATTAAAGACCTTTACTACAGCTGGTAGACTGGAAATGTTTACAGAGCCTATATGACATTCCAAGATTCTGTTACATGTGTTTGTAAAAATGTTTAAAGAACACAAAAGACCTTCTATAAAGTTCCATATGTGATATTTCCAGCAGAGTGCTATGTGTATTTCACTGTCCACCATGCTGAGTTGGGCTGATCTGAGAGCTGTCAGCTCACAGGCTGCAGGCACGTGGCAGAGCCTGCAACTATGGGCGCACTGTGCTTGTAGCACAGAGTTGTTGAAAGGTGGGATTTTGTTCAGTGTATTTCTACCTGTCTGTATATCCAAGTTGACAGCAGGAACTCCACACTGAAAGCAGAGCTCAAGCAGGACATCTGCATCAGAAGTTGTTTTCTTGACTCGTACAACTTTATGCAAACCTAAGCTGGAGAATCTGAAGGGAGCTCTGCCTGAGCTTCTCAAAGGGCTCTCACAGCACTTACCAAGCCTCACTTTCTCCTGGGAGGTAATGCTGAGTATGGGAACTACATTAAAAGCTGGTACAGAGAAGATGCTCAATAGCTTCTGCTACTAGCCTGAGAGAGACAGCCAATGTAGTATAAGGAAGCAGTCTACAGAAAATCCCATCAACCATCTAGAAACATGGCAGCTGTTTACAATGGGAAAACACATGCTTTTGCTGAAAAATAATTAATTTTCTAAAGATGTTTCTAGCCATGATGAAAAAGTCAAATACATTAACAACATAAGAACTTCCTTTTAGCCCATTTCTCAAGAACTGTAATCAAGTAACTACTCAAGCATATCACAGTCAGGGACTTCACAACATGGAAATTCTTTCTATGTTTATTTCTGCTCTAAGAAACCCCCTTATTTTCCTTACTTCCCCAGGACCTGGCAGTCACCCTCTTCTTGCTGGGGAGCTGAGAAAGGAGCCCCCTGGAAGCACTCGTGGTGTCCCAGCCCAATGTGGGCGGGCAGCAGCAGCACGAGGAATGAATGCTTCTGCCTTCCTCTTAAACTTCCTCCACTTCTTTCAGGGTGTGCTCCACAATGGTGTCTTGTCCTTGGAACTTAAAGTAGCCATGAAACAACTTTCTTTGAAACACCAAAGGGAACCAATAGACGTCATCTGGCCACATTTGTTTGAATGGCACCTCATCCATCTGAAACCACTGGGGCTGCATTTCTGTTGGGGGGAAAAAACAATTTTGTTTAAAATTTTCTCATGGATTTTTGCTGCCCAGAGTTTCACTGTGTCAACAAACAGCTTTGGGTTACAGCCCAGCTGCCTCCCTCCTCTGGAATTTCTGCAGGAACAGTTCTGCATTTATGTATGAGCAGTGCATTTCAAAAGCAAACACAGCAGCTCCACGAGTTACCCACCATCGCTCTCCTTTGGCTCTCCGTGAAACTGATCCGCTCGGAAAACGTGAACTTCCATCAGTTCAGCGTTGCCTATAAATTCAAAAGTGATCTGGCCCATCTTCTGCAAGGTGTCCACAGTCAGCCCGCTCTCTTCCTTGAGCCCCCTGCACAAGAAATAGACATAGTTACATGAAAGCAAGCAGTGGAAGAACAAAATTAGCTTTATACTACATTCAGAACTCCTCCAGTGAATTACAGCTGACAGTTGTGCCTGCAACAAAGCAGAGCTCTGGCTCACATCACACTGTGCAGCCCGCTGGCAGCAGACTGGAGCGATGTCAGACTGACTCATGAGTTGCTCAGTGCCCCATAGCGGCCAGTTTCTGCTCCTCAGAAATGCATTCCGTGTGAGAGAGAGGCTGAGAGACAAGTCTTTTAAGAGCAGTTTGTGAGACTTGCCAAGCAGCTCTTTTCAAGGCCTCACCATGCGTGGCCACTTGAAGCACTTCAAATCACTTTTTCTGTCTATGCCACACATTCATGGCTCCTCTTTTTTATTTTTTAAAAACCTGCTGATAAGAGGCCTCGAAACTTCTGGTTATTCTACAGTACAAAGGTAAGGGAATCCCTGAATTACCTTCAGATAATAATTAATGATTAATGTAGTTGCACATTTGGCAGAAACCCAACAATTGCAAAACAGAAATGATTTTTAAGGCTCCGGCTTTCTCTGGCATCAGTTTCATGGGTCCCATCCTTCAAAACTGTACTGCAGTCTGATGCCTTGGCTAATTCTGGTTGATGTTCCTGGAAAACGATGCCTAAAACAGAGGCGGTTTTCAACCTCCCCGTCTGCCCCTCACCCAGGGCCGGGCCTCACCTGCGCGCCGCATCCTCGATGCTCTCCCCCGGCTGCACGATTCCTCCAAAGCCGTTCCACAGCCCGGCCCCGAATCCGCTCTTCTTCTTCCCCAGGAGGACGCGGGGCGGCTGCACCACCAGCACGAGGGTGAAGAGCCTGGAGGCGGACATGGCGCTGCGCCGTGCGGGGCGCATGAGGGCAGCGCTCGGGCGGAGGAGCCGCGGGGCGCAGCGAAGCCCCTCCGCACAGCACGGGGCGCCTCACGCACCGCCGCCCCATCGCAGACCCTCCCGCCCTTCTCCTTCCACGATCTCCGTATCCTTTCCGTTCTCCCGCTCCGATCCCGGCTCATCCCGCAGCTCGTCCGCCGCAGCTCCGCCCTCAGCTCCGCCCCAGCGCGGGGCGGGAGGCGGCGGCCGCCACGGCGTGGTGCAGGGAAAGGGGAGCCGGGCTCGGGGCTGCCGTCCCTCCGCCCTGGGGGCTGTGAGACCCGTCCCGTGGTGACCGGCACTGAACTGCCAGAGCGGGGCGGCTGGGGGTCGGGCGGTGCGCGCTGCTGGAGCTCAGGGAGCGCTGGGACACCGCTGACAGCCATAGGGTTAGGCTGTGCCTTGTGGGTCTTTCCAGCACGGGACGGACCGTGTTTCCTTAATGTAGGCTTCTGGTATGATCGGCCCAGCTCCCCTTCCCCGTAAAACGATGGTCCTCGGCTTTTAAAGCCGTTCACGGATAACTAATGTCAGGTCACTGAAGCAGTAAGACTGCTTCTCCAGAATTCCTGACAGTACTCAGCAATGCCCTGCAAGAAGCACTAATTGTAAAAAGGAAAAACTACACTCACCCCACCGGTGATGAGGGACTCCTCACTACGGAACGCTCCTGCACAGAAAATGACCTTCGTCCGCACAGCGCTCAGATCCGCCCTCAAATGAGCGCAGGCTGGGCTGGGCGCAGGGACGGCACTGCACGGCCACGTGGAGCACAGCTGGAAGCTGCACACCTGAAAGCTTCACACCTGTCCTGCCTGGGCCGAACGTCCCTACAGGTGATCGGGCATGCTTACATCTCTGACACAGCGCTCGGGGTCGGTGAGGAGCGTGAGCTGGCTGTGAGGTCGCAG